AAATAATAAGAAAAATCTAAATGTTTTTATATAAATATATTAAGTACTAAACATGACTTATGCAAAGTTTCATTGAGATTCACCATTAGTTTATAACAAATAACAAATTTTATTTATTTACTGAACAATTAATGTCTGCATCTTAAGATAATTTTACAAAAATATTGTTGAATTCCTAGAGTATTTATATAAAAAAATTGAGATTTTTATCATTTTATAATACATTTTCATATATTTATATTAGAGTACAAATTTTAAAAATATAACTGCTTATTTAAATAACTTTTGATCCAGATGGTCAATTGTTTCTATTTTTTTTGTATTATTATTAAATGAAATTTAGAATAGTCTGTAATTTTTTCAAGTAGTTCTTAACATATTGCATTTGCCTTACAATCTCCTTAAGTATTTTGCGTAATTTGCGTTAGAAGGAAAAAGTATAATGACCTATTTTTAATTTAAATTTATATGTACTATTTTTTTTTAAATTGGCGATTGTACCAATCGATACAACAACGTTTAAGTTTAAAATTTCGGCTTTAAGAATCTGTTTTTCTAAATTGCAGTACGATGATTTTTAATGGAATTATGAGCAATCATCTTCTTTTTGCTTAGCTCACGAGAGAGAGAGAGAGAGAGAGAGAGAGTTCTTCGCTTTTTATTCTTTTAATTAGTACTATAATTCACCGTCATATATCAGCAATTATTTAATCACAAACAAGTCTGGCGCAGTAATCAAATCAATATAACAGAATAAATTAAAATATTGTAAAACATGTGAATGCGAATGAGAAATGTATTAAAATATTTACCATGTAACAAAATTGTCCTCAATACGTGACTAATAAATAAACAATAAAAACGGTTGAGCATATGCCACACATTAGATCTTGTTAGTGAAATATCATTAATATATTCGTATATAGAATTAAAAGAATTACAATAATTATATCAGTTACAATAAATCAATCTATCTGATGACCATACCGAAGTTGATGCAGAGAAACAACAAAATGATTATTAGATTTTCTAATGTCGGCTTTATGTTCTTTAATTCTAGTTTTTAATTTTCTTTTTGTTTGTTTTCAAGATATAGGTGAGATTACAGTTTTTACATTTTCTAATTTTGTTTGTATAACGTTATGACAATATCTAATTAGGCATATACATTTTAGTTTGGTAATTATATCTTGATGTTAACGATCCTTGTAAATAATATTTTACATCGGTGGATTTTTTATCAATCGATAATTTCATCACACAACTAAATACTCAACAATATTAATTGAGTTTTTTATACTTTGACAACTTAAAAACTTTATTATATCTACTAATTGTAACTTTTATTTCGTAATTACTTATATCTTTATAATTTTATATATTGTGTTTATTTATACTGAAGATGGCCATCTTCAGGGCCGAAACGTTTATACTTTGATTTATTGTAACTGACATAATTATTGTAATTCTTTTAATTCTATATACAAATATATTAATGATATTTCACTAACAAGATCAAGTGTGTGGCATATACTCAACCGTTTTTATTGTTTATTTACCAT